ACCCTGCTGAAATGCTTTTGGATCTGGGGTTGAAACTCTATCAACTTCAGCTGATAATTTAGGAGCTCCATAGGCATCGCCATTAGACCTATTAGATAATGCAGAGCTCCTTTGCTGATGATGATCTATATGCAGATTAGTTAAAGACTCAAGTGGAACTGAAAATGTTTCACGTTGAACCACTTCATGATGTCTGCTTCCCATCATCTTTGTTCTATCAGGTGGAGGACAATCTTGAAGCCGATGGGAGACAGCAACAAGGGCCTTCTTTACAGATGTCAGCTGGCCTTCGATCTGACACAATTCCAAAAGATCCTTTCTTAGCATTTAAAAAAGTAACAGCACAAATAAATTGATGTCCATTTACCATATTCACATGTCTCTTAATCAGTGAGTTGGAAAATGTTCCCAACCTTTAGCATGAAATTGCAGCCTTTTCTTACATTGCATCCAAGGTCAGTCAAAGGCAAAAGGTTCCCTAAGAGTGGGTTTAAGGTTAGTTGAAAATCCCAACCCAACCCAAGTTGGGTTGATGGATTGACATATCAACCCATTAAAAAAAGTATAAACCATTTTCATTTTATGTCTTAATTTTTCTTCAAATTTTATGATCAAATATAAATAAAAGTGAGAAAAAATGTTAAAAAAACTAGTAATTAGTCAAATAATTCAAATGTTCAATAGGGACATGTACTTAAAAAGTTCATCAACAACATTCAAATAAGTCTACAATACAACTACAAATAAGCCTATCAACAACAAAAAAATAAGTACAAAATAAATCACAAACAAGTTTTAATAAGAAAATAAACTACAAATAAAAATCATAAGTTAATGTGAATAGGTAAAAGTCATGAGAAAAAAAATAATCAACCCAACAAACCAACCCAACAAACCAACCCAACCCAACCCATCATTTAACCCATTGGGTTGGCGGGTTGTGTGATTGAGTTATGTGAGTTGGAGGATCGAAAAGAGTAACCCAACCCGTTTGGGCAGGCTATGTGGTCAACTCATTGATTTGAACTCATTTTGATACCCCTAACTTGATATTAGGCTATAGATATAGCTTACATCCATATCCATGGAGCATCAAAGCCATATCAGGCAATTTATTTTTAAACAAAAGGCAAAAAAAGAAATATTTAGTACATATCAAATGTCTATCAACATTGGATACTTGTAAGACATTTTAGGAGCATTTGAGCTTCATAGGGCCCAAGCTAACACGATACAGAATTTTCCTTTAAGCAATGATTCTATGATGACCAACCCAACCATTGTTACCACATCACATAGCTGGATGACACGTGAACTACCAGATGCATACAAACAACAAATTATCAGGCAGCTAACTGTCTACAACACCAGATGCATTGCATACAAACAAGAAATTATCAGTCAGCAAACTGTCTACTCATTCCATTACTTGCTTTTACAGCATGATCTGTTTAGACTCAAGATTTTGTTGGAAAACCTCCACAGTTACCATGCTATGCTTTCCCATTTGACCACACTAATCAACGTGACCATTTTCTATTTCTCAATTCTCATAAATTCATTAGCAAAAAAAGCAGGGAAGGAGAGTACAGCAAGGGAAGAACCTTTCATTAACTGGTGCTATTTCTTCAAAAACCTTTCAATTCTATTTACTAAATTGTCAATACTCAATAAGTTTACATTATCAACCAATCAAAAATCATCTTTAGTGTGCTTTTAAGGTGATTATTACAACAGTCTACAAACTTACAAATAGTGTTATCAAATGCGGATTGTGAAAAATGGTGGAAAGCCAATAACCTGCTATATATTACAGCGGATAGCATATCAGACAAAATAGCAGAAGTTGCATAACAGTAATATACGGAATATATCAATTATATATGTATAAAAATGTATGTTTTATGCAATTTCTTTTATAAATAAAATGCATAAAAATTGGCATAATATTTTTCTCAAAAGTTCAATTAGTTGGAGACTCAGCAGAGATGACTATAAGATGTAGGATACATGCTGCAAACATAACACCATACCGGCCACTATAGCCAACAAAGTTATGATAGCAGATTCAAGGAATTTTTCCATAGAATAGTGTTATTTTGCCACTAAAGCGGCAATTTAATAACGCAACTTACAATTTATACCAATTTGTAATTGGATGACGCAGTTAAAAATCTATACTTGGTGTATATTTATTTATTCAATAATTAATAACTGTAGGAGTTCAACGTCCATTCCATCCATTTTTTTTATTGGTGTACATTAATCGCACTAATGTTAGAACATCAACCTCATGCTTATTTCTGCTACCTACCACAACCGATAGGCGACCCTAGTGGTTCCATTCCATCCATTCAAAGAGAAAAATAGATCAGATATACATCCATCCATTAAATAAATCATAGTTAATATACTCAGCCAATTTACTCAATAATTCTCCAGCAAAACGAATTAACTACTCAACATCCAATCCAAATCAAAGGGCATTTCGTTGAACCCAAAAAAACACACATTACAAAGCACTATGCCACATTTTCTGTCTTTTCGTGATTTTGTAAGTTTAGACTTTGGAAACCAATCACACACTAAAACACAGTCCAATAGTAGAAATCCAAGCTGTGATGCAAAAAGACGCCAAAAACAATTTAATTAAACAAAAAATAAAAATCTAAGTGACCTCAATGATTTCATCGGAGGGAGCAGTGCAGGCCGGCAGAGCATCGTTCAAAACCCTAATCTTACATCCGGTGTCCATCCTGATCTTCTCCACAACCTTCCCACCCTTGCCGATGACGGCGCCGACCTGCGAAGTGTCAGCGAGCAGCCGGCAAGAGACAACGCGGTCGCCAACCTCAGTGCCGGTGGTCTCAGCAGCGACGTCGATGACGCGGTCGAAGACCTTGAGCAGCGCCTCCTGCGCCCTGGAGAGCTCGGCGTGGTTGGCGGCGGCAGGGGCGGTGACGAGGATGACACGGTCGGGGGAGTCCGGCGGCGCGTCGACAATTCGGATCCTGGCACCGGTGGCCTCCTGCAGCGTCTTGATGAGGACGCCGGACTTCCCGATGATGGCCCCCACGCGGGACGCGTGGCAGAGCAGACGGAACGCCACGTGGCTGGGACTGGCCATTGAAGTGCTTCTTCTTCTTCAGAGGAAGAACAGTTTTTTTTATGTAAATAATTAAATATAAATATAAATAGAGTGATACTGATACACATACACCACTCTGGCCACTAATTGTACATGCACGCTGCTCCACCTTTCTCTATATTTTATTTTATTTAAATATTTTGTTTTCTTTTTGTTCTGCAACCATCACATGACAGTTGCAGAGAAGAGGGAAACAAAATCCTTTGATGTCCAGAACAATAGGAAATGATGGTTTTAGATTTTCTACTTTTCAACCTTTATTTATTTATACCATTATCTTTGTTTAAAACATTAGGTCATCTCACCAACCAAACATTACTCCAGTTTATATATTTCAACCTTCCAAAAATAAACAAGGCTAAATCAAACTATATACACTAACAGGATATAACTAAAATCAATAAACTATTAATAGAAATTAATTATTCTATATGATATTATTTCCAGTGACTGAGAGAAGACTTCATCATCAAAAGATTCCACCAGTGATCAGTTGAGACTTTTTAATCTTTGTCTAACATGTCTAAGCTATTATATAGTTGTTTTGTTATGTCTAATTTGTTATCTATTGTTTTTAATAATTTGGACTTAAAATTATCTCTAGATGTATTATATCTAATGTAATTCACTTATCTATATGATATCTTTACTTAAATCAGGATTATCTTCATGATAATTTATTTTTATATACACTAGATTCAAAATTAAAATAAATATTTTGTCAATCAATTGATAGACAAATAAAAAAATAAGTCAGTCAATTTATTTATGATTAAGGATGAGATGAAATCGACTTAAAATATATAAATCAATTTTTTTTTATAAAATTAAAATTAAGTTTAATTTATTATTTATAATAATTTTTTATAGATTTGATTTCATTTTTTTTTAAATTAAGTTTGATCTATTATTTTAAAATATATTTTACATTAATAAAGTGAATTCTATATAAGCTAACAAAATTTATTTTTAAATATGTGTAAGTCTATTTTTAATGTGTGATAAAAAAAATAGTTTATTTTATTACTAATAAAATTTGAAGTTTAAAATAAAAATAGAAACTAAAGGAAGAAGGATAACTCATGTATATTCATGTACAATAACGTACTATCTATGATGAAAGAAAATAAATTTATCCAATAAAATATTTTTATATTTTATTTAAAATATTTTAAATAATCAAACATGAAGATAAATGAAATAAGTAGGTAAAAATGTTACTATAAGAATTTTTATATTTGATTTCTTGATTTCATACAGATAAAGAACGTAAAATATTTAAGTGTAGTAAAAATATAAAACAAATATTAATAATATGATTTTATGTATTATAATTTATTTATTTTATTATATTGTTAATAATATAATATGCATATTATGTTTTATCATGTATAAATAAATATGCTGACTTATAAAGTATAATAGGTTTTTCTATAAACTTAAACTCTACTTTTAAAAAAAAATATGTATGCCATTTTTATTAAATAAGTAAAGTTACACTATACTTTAAATATGTCAAGTCAGTTTGACATATTTTCATGACTACTTGTGATACATAAGTTGGTGGGTCTTCAACTTAATAAGAAAGTATACAATCTCATAATCTCAAGTTTTACAAAGGCAAAGAGATTATAAATACGAAGTGGATTAGTTGATATCACAAACTATAAGCATAAAGTAAATAATAATCACATCTCCTAAAAAGAGAACATAATCAATCTATTATTTGGTAACTATACCTACCATCAATATTCTTTGTATAACAGTTATGTTATATAGGTAAACTTAATTTTTATAGAAAAAACTATAATATAAATCTAAGAATTGTTCTCTCTTAAGTTTTTTAGAAGAATCCTACATTCTTATAAAAAAAATCAGTTATTTGTAACAAAATCTTCCTTAACTCATCAATCTCTAGGAATTGTAGTGTTGTTCATCACATTCCTTATCTAATTCCTCCTCCTCCTTCTTTTATTTTATTTTTTTTTAATTTTATATATTTTTACTTTTTTTATCCAATTTTCATTGACCTCTTTATTTAAAATTGATGCTAATTGATTTATTATGTTTCTCATCTTTCATCAAATTCTCTCTTAATAAGATTGTAGAAGATGTATTTATACACCATATAACTCTTGTATACTTTGACATTATTCTCTTTTTAAACATTAATTAATTACATGAGAAACATGAAAAGAGAGATAGTTAATTTAAAAATTATTAAGGGTAAATTTTAAAAAGTAGTTTAAATTATTAAAAAAATTAATATTATTAACTAAATTAATTAATTTTCCTAAACAATATAACTTCATTGAAAGGGTTGCAATAAATCTCCTTTATTCCCCTCTCCTCACCTCTTTTATTTATTTATTTATTCAATTATATTAAAGGGATTTATTCTATATGAAGACAGAATAGGCTAAGAAACTATATTACTACAATCCTTTCAACTAAATTAACAGTTAATTAGGAAAATTGATTAATTTAGTTAATAACATTAAATTTATCAATAATTTGAACAATTTTTATAAAATTTTCTTTAACATTTCTTGAATCAATCTTCCTTATTTTCCACCTTATTACTTCTCACGTGATTAATGTTTAGAAAGATAATAATGTTAAAATAGATGAGAATTATGATGTACGAACATGCTTAGATAAAATTTAGAAGGACTTTTAATTTTTATATTAAAAAATACTTTCTATTTTCAATAAAAAAAAAACTCTCAAAAGTTTTATAGATTATATCAAAATAGACATTATGTGTACATCTTCTCCAATCCAATCATATTAAGAGAGTGAAGTTTCATTCATTAATTTCAAATATTTATTATTTTTGAAAATTACTAATTAAATAAAGGTCTTTTAGAAAAAAAAAGTAAATCTTTTTTAACATATTGTTTGACTGGAAAAAAAATGAAGAAAAGAAGATATTTTTTTTTTCATTTTTTAAGAGAAGAGGGGAATAGAGGAGGAACAAAACTTCTCCTGGTCTAATTTTAGATCACAGGAGGAATTTGGAGGGGACGTAACACATAGACTATTGTTTTAGGAAAGGCCTAAAATACAAAATAGACAAGCTTTAACATTGTAATGAGTTATAAAACTTATATCAGAAGTTTCAGAACAAAATTACTTACATCTTTATCGGTGCTTGTGACATAAAATATTAAATATCAAAAAAGGTCATATCAGTATTTTTGGGAAAAGAGTTCTTAATAACAAATTTATTACTATTAGAACTTAAAAAAAAAAAAGAATATCAGAGCTATAAACCATCTATATCAGAGCACAAGATTTTTCATATATACGGATTAAAGGAACATTTGCAAAGGTTTTTCAAAAACTTGATTCAGAACAAAGATTGATTGAGCTGAAAAGAATATGAACTTTTATAAGAGCAAAAACATTTGTATCCCTTTTCATATACAATCTTATTGAAAGAGAATTTTTATTTATGAGAGCATGAGTTTGATCAGAGAATTAAAGCTATATTAACACAATGGATAAAGCAGTACATACAACACAAGTGAAGAACACTGGAACAATTAGTCAGGCACCATGAAGGTTGAAGCATTGAATATTCAAAATTTTGCATGCATGATGTACACAGCATCAAACCTCATAACCAGGATTAACTTTTTGTTGGATATCCCCATAACTTTCTAACTCTTCCATGTCTTCCAAGCTCCCCATAAAGAGAGGGAGTCTTTGGTGCAGTTTAACTGGTTGAAGGGAAAGAATTCTATTTTTGCCATCAGACCCTCTCCCACCAGCCTGCTCTACAATGAAACTAAGAGGGTTTGCTTCATAAACAAGACGAAGATGGTCCCTTGGGTTCATTGCCACACCCCCATACAACAAAGTTCTGTGGAGATCAGCCACCAGAGAACATATATACCTGGCCGAGTACTTCTTGGGGTATCTACCTTTTCCTTGTCTAACAGTGTCTATATATTGTCTTAAACCTTCAGGCCAGTCAAAATATCGCGCATCATTTACAGAATAAATTTGCCCTGATCACATAAGAGAGATGTCAACATCATAAACCACAACTATATACATTCAGAAGTAAGTTAACAATGACAATAACCACTGTAAGATGCTTCCTATCTTAGGTAATTATATACTATAAAGATATGAGACATAATGTATCTACCAAATTAGTTAGGTTAATATTAGAGTTGCAAACATTTAAATTAGAATAAATAATACATATATTGACAGTGTAAAGTCTTTTTTACACATTGATCTAATCATAAATTACAAAGTATGATGGCTTTGTTGACTTTTATAATAATTATCTTAAAAGTCATAAAAAGATGAGTTCTGATTGATAATTTTGAAACTTTATGATAGTGCATGGCTATTAAACTTTTCAAATTATGTATGGAAAAAGTAAAGCGCGCATTTTACCATGGGGGGGAATTTTAATGCTTGGATTTGTGAGAACAAAGTCTCCGGTAGAATGATCAAGAGTGAATGCTTGTGTTCCTGAACCAAAGGTGATGCAGAGTATAGTTGCAGAAGAATAGAGAACATAGGCAGCAGCAATCAGCTTACTTCCACTCTGGAGTGAATTCAGAGTAGCCTTCTCCTCAGTGGGTAGATTATCTAGTTCCTCAAGGCGCTTATAAATACCAAAAATTGTACCCGTTGGAATTGATGCATCAATATTTCGAGAACCATCTAGGGGATCTGTTACTACCACGTATGGACCATCGTCTCTTATCCAAGTTGGTTCATCATTTTCTTCTGAAGCCATGACAGCAACTTTACCGGATTTTTGGAGTGATGACAAGATGATTTCATTCTGCAATGATGCACAATGGGGAAAATTGATTAATAAGATACTCTTTTCCAGTAATATTTATGGGGGATCCTGTTAATAAAGGAAATCATATAGCCCTTTACCAGAAATAATGGCAAGAAGGAACTTACATAGGAGCATTCAACATTCAAGACTAGTTATGGTAAATCAGTATCGATTTTAAAAATAAGACCAATTCTGATATGCGGTGAATATTAGTCTAACAATTAATCCATGTGATGTGACAACTCTCATAGAACTGTTTGTCACAATGGCAATATAGGTTTTATTTCCTTCAGGACAACACAATCTAAAAGATTCTTATGACTTATGCCAAGTAAAATTAGAGGTTTAAAGGAATTTAAGGGTCGTTTATGTAGGCTTCTCTAAAATAACTTTTATGAAGAAAAAAAATTAAAATAAACTTTTCTATAAGTTAAAACTAATTTATATACAAGTTAAAAATAATATTTTGAAGGAGCTAATAAAAGAAAATTTCTATAAATTAACTATGCATAAACTAATTTCAGCATATGAAAAAACTTATTTCATTTTTCTTCCTATTTTTCTCTCCTAAAAATACTTATGGAGAAGTTTACCCTAAGTAGAATCACCATCAACAGTCAAAAGAAAGGTTGTTTTGTATACCCGTTTCATGTATTGATATTTAGTTGCCAGTCCCATGTTGTTGCTCTACAACTTAATTTAGATATAGGGGCCAAAATTATATCAATTTTCTCAGTGGTTCATGTTCAACAAATCCACATGGCAATAGGCATGAGATAACACACTCAAATTCCCAATTGGCAATAGTATATATAGAAACAAAGATGGTAGAAGATCATGCTGTTTGCATCTCAATTTAGAATGAATTCCCCAAAAGATGAAATGCAAATTGGTGACCATTCCATCCTTTTTTTTTATTCCCACCCATCACACATGAGAAGAAAGGAGGAGAAAATAACACTCAATTTGAGCACACATCCTTTTTCTCTTCTCTCATTCACAGCACACGATATTCCATCCCAATTGAGCACTCACTTACAATTGCACAGTGTAAAGCACTTTCCACCAAGACAATTCATCACACATGAAAGGGAATGAGGAGAAAACAACACTCAATTTTAGTAATTTCAAAAGGAAAAAAAAAATACCGAGACAATATCAAGAGGCTTAGGAGCATCCCTATCGGAACCAACAGATGCAAGACCAGTTTGTTTGCCAAGGCTGTAATTGAAAGGAGAAGCCACAAGAGCTGCAATTCTCTTGCAAGCATACTGTATGTGATCAAGCAACACCACCAAATCATCTTTCACATTCATTCCTTCCTTTCCCACATACTCTATAAATGTGACAAACCCATCATCACTTGCAGAAGATGAAGAAGAACCACCCAAGGCCCTTAGGGGTCTCAGCCCAAACCCAGAAACTGAAGCCATTCTTAGTCTGCAGAAAGGGGTCCCTAAGGAGCAAAGTCGAGATTTTGATGGAAAAGTTTGAAGCTTTGGCCTGAAGCTCACGAGTTGATAGAATGGTGGTGTGGCAGCTGACTGCATAATGTGAAAAGTTATCCAATGGATTTGATCAGAATGTTTTCATTTCAGACAATTTCAGTGGCAGATACTTCAAGCACTTTGAAACAGCTTAAGATGTTTCTTTCTATCTTCGAAAATAATAATGATAATAATTAACGACAATAATACAAGAATAGCTTTTTAATATTTATGTTTTGCAGTAAAAAAAAAATTGAACAAAAAAAAACTTTTTATGCTTTTATTTTTTAGTAATTGAGCACGTGTACTTTTAGTTTTATTATTTGAATATTAAATTTTAATACGATATGACATTTGGTGTAAAAAAAAAATACGATATAACATTTTAGTAAAGTCTCTCGTTTTAATTTTTATTTATTTATCTATAAGACTCAAAATTTTATTTAAGAAAATTGAGCATATTTCATTCGAATTCAAGTAATGTCGATTTTGGCATATATACTCTATCAAAAAGGATAATATCAACTTTTTTATATATATAAATAAAACATAAAAATAAAGTAGTTGGTTGGTGCAACGCTGCCAAACTTTTCCCATCCTATCTTTTGGCTGATGCATAATTTTTTATTTTACTTTTTTATTTAATATAGTCAAATTTTATATTTACTCATCACTGTATTACTTAGTATAAAATGTTATGAATCAATTAGATTTTTTTTTTGAATTTGAGGTATATAATAATATAAATATGTTAAGACTTTTTTATTTTAAAAAATCTTATGTTATTCAATCAAAATTTTATTTTAATATAAATTTTTTTGTAGTGTTTAAACAAAACAATCAACATTTTTTTAAAGACTATACAAAAATATTTGCTGATATTCAATTAATTTTTTTTATTGAAAAAGTCTTCTAATATTGAAAAACATATAAGATTTTCGATAATTTTTTTAACATTAATTTGTAAGAATTTTTAGTAAAATTTATACATATATACTGATTCAATAAATTTAAACTCTTGATATTTTATGTAATTTATTTTGTTTTATTTATTTCTACTTTCTCTTTTGTTCTATTTCTTTATACTAGCACATAAAGGATACTTTGTGTTTTCATGAATTATTTTTTAAGAATAATAAATAATAAAATTATATAATAATAGATAATTATTAAAAATATGGGCAGTTGGGGAGTAAACTTTATAAAGAAAAATAATAAGAAATTTGTAATTTGTAAACAAGTAGTTATAAGAGTAAAATTGACCAAAAATTGTGTATTTTAGAAAGTCTAATCTTCTTTATTATAGTTATAGATTTAAACAAGTATAGGTATCAAGTTTAATTATTAATATATATATATATATGTATATATTATTTAATTAAAATAATTTTAGAGATTTTTATTAATATTTTTTAAAATAAATAGTTATTTAAAGAAATTCAATCGTGAAAATTTTATTTAATTTTTCATGGATTCAAAAGAGGAAAACAATATTTGAATAAAAAGAGGAAAAAGACAAAGGTAAAAATTGAAAGATATTATTATACGTTCTAAAAACTTACCTGCAATTGACAAATAAATGATTTCAAAATAATGCATTCATATTATTGAATAGTAATAGAGATGATATATACATATTTTTTATCTAAAAATTGTGGAGGGCTTCACAACTCTGAGGTTCGACATGTATAAACTCTCTTTCCAAGAGAATGATTCTCACATAATAGAGATGATATTAAAATATGTTAATATATAACATTCACAAAACAAAATTAATAATTTATTATAAATTTTAATTTATAATTGGACTGTATCCTATCACCTATTTTCTCTTATTTATTTATAAAAAAATAATGCCTCTCATGTTGTCATGCTTTCACTTAACACGCTTTACATAAAAGGATCATGTGCCACGTATGTTATGAGAAGAGTTTTGGTCATTGATGAATATAAAATGTATAACTTTCTTCCTCCTAAGAAATTACTAAAATAACACGTCACAAGTTTGAATATTTTAGTGGTGAGTGCGACTTGGTTGGAAAATTCTACGTCATTATCCATGTCTGGAAGCGTTTTTCTTGACTTTTCAGCTAAACTGAGTCACGGATAATGTCAGATCATATTCTGCATTATTATAAAAATAAAGATGCAATCATGCAACCATCGGTGTGACATTGAATACACAATTGCTTGGCATCTCTGAAACCAGGTAAGTGAAAACCAAAATGGTGTCACCGACAGTTGAACTTCTGAAGAGTGAGATTCCTCTGGAGCAGGAATCAGTGGTTTTAGCTGAAGATACTATAAATGGTCTGGTTCTTGTGGACATCATAAATGGCTTCTGCACAGTTGGTGCTGGAAATCTGGTATCTGCCTTAGATTCCGTTTATATAACATGTCTCTGTGTGTGTTTTTAAATGTTTTTCAATTTTGATAAACTAGAATGTTCTTCTGTGATGACTTCATAGAAGTCTGATTGCTTCTTGGGATTTTTTTTTCTTCGTTCTAGACTAGAGTTTTGTATATTTTTGATTTGATTAGTGGATGATGGGTTAAGAGATAGATGAATGATATTGTCAGGCTCCAAGAGAATCCAATAGACAGATTTCGGGAATGATCAATGAGTCAGCAAGGCTAGCTAGAGTGTTCTGTGAGAAGAAATTACCAGTTATGGCTTTCCTGGATTCTCACCATCCTAACAAGTCAGAGGATCCTTATCCCCCTCACTGTATTATTGGTTCTGATGAATCAAACCTGGTTCCAGGTGAACTTATTCACTTTTTTTTTCTCTCTCTCAAGAATCACACATATAATTCTCATTCATTTTTTTTTAAATTTCTAAGGAAACATTTAAATGAGAAAAATATAAAAGAAAAATAATCAAACTTTTTTATAAACTAAAATTAGCTTACACATAAGTCAATTTATAGAAACTCTTCCTTATTAATTTCTTTAAAATCTTAATTGTAACTTATGCATAAACTAATTTTAATTTATAGAGAGACTTATTTTCATTTTTTTCTTTTTTTCCTCTTAAAAGTGTTATTGGATAAATTTATGGCATTCTAGAATGGATCCATAACAAAATATGCCTACTAATATTGCAACATATAAAATTGTTTAAAAAATCATAAGTTGTTAGTTCAAGTGGTTTATTCCTTAATTAACAACTTAAAACTTGAAGTTGTAATTCGAGATACTATTTTCCCTTAGTAAGAGTTAACTTGGTGAGAAGAAGTTATCAAATAGAATAAAAATAAAACTGCATGATAAGATGTACTTATCATGTTACTTGGTAATTGATTATCCGTGTAATAACTTGGTTCTGGTCCTTTGAGACTTGATGAATACATTACATGTTCATAGTATCTCATAAATAAATTATTTGATGGATTCCTTGGAGATCAAAATAATGATAAGAATTATCCAGGTCTGCAGAGTTGAAATATACTTAAAATTTTGGTTGAAAAATAATGAAAAAATGTGTCTTGAGACCGGCAAGGAAAAGGGTGGTCATGACAACCTCTCTTTTAAGTAAATTGACAAAAGTCAGCAACACTCCCTTTCTTGTAATGGTGTAATTTTCAATAAATTTAAATCGCTAATAAAGAGTGTATTAAGAAGTACATTACTATAATCCTCTTGGAAGTATATATGCCTTGTGTCAATCGAATGCATACGATAATGGCTACTCATCAAACAACATTTTGAATGCTACAGAGATTTCTTATTACTGTATTGTGACATGAATTTCCGCTGCTATTTGTTCAACTCTTTTCAAAACCCTCTTGCTCTCATTCTCCCTCTATGTTCATGCCTTGTCTTATTTTTGTTGCCTCACAGCGTTAAGATGGCTAGAGAATGAACCCAATGTAACAATCAGGCGAAAGGACTGTTTCGATGGATATTTGGGCTCAATTGAAGAGGATGGTTCTAACGTTTTTGTAGATTGGGTGAAGAAAAATAACATAACAACTGTGAGTATTTATTTATTCCAATTTGAGTATTAATTAATTATTAATGTCAAACCTCGACAGATTTGTGAACACGATAAACACTCTTTGTGGTAATGAATAAAGAAAAAATTACTGTTCATGATGCATATACTTGGGTACTAATTATTTATTGCCTGTCTTGGTGAAGCTGGTGGTTGTAGGTGTATGCACAGATATCTGTGTTCTAGATTTTGTATGCTCCACAATGTCAGCTAAGAACCGTGGTTTTCTGGAGCCTCTAGAAAATGTGGTGGTGTATTCACGTGGCTGTGCTACCTTTGATATCCCTCTCGAGGTAGCCAGAAGCACCAAAGGAGCTTTAACACATCCTCAGGTACATACATATAATATAACTCACCATAACACTTTTTATAAGTAAATATTAGACGATGAATACTTCCAATAAATACCACGAATGGGTTTCCTTTAAAAAGGCCTATGTTCAATGCATTTTAGTGATGTACTGTGTCATTTGCAGGAGTTTATGCATCACATGGGTCTGTATATGGCCAAAGAACGAGGAGCCAAGATAGCAAATGAAGTTTTATTTGGAGCAGCAGAGAAAGCATAACAACCGTGTTGTGTGCTTCTGAACCAGCCATCTAAGATAGTTATATAAGGTTGGTACAATAAGGTGAAAATGATCGTGTGGCGGCGATCCACCATCAGTATTACATATCATATGTAAAGTATAAAATGTATCTTTAGACTCAATCCTTTCTTCCCCCAAATCCTTTTAATATACCCAGTTGTGAAATCCGATTTGAATTAAGATTCAGATATGAATTGAGTAAAATAGTAGTCCTAGCTAAGACTAGAGTGAAAATAAGTTAGGTATGTCGGAGTCATAAGCTTAGCACACATCACGTCCAAGTCGGACTAGGTTGATTTGTTTTTTTTTTTGGAAAGCGAGGTAAAATATATTTTTATTCCAAATTGGCATAAAATGCTTTTTTTTTAAATGAATCTCACAGTGGAACTCAAATTTATATATATATATATAATATAAATACTTCATCATATAAAATACAAAAAGGTTTTCTTTTAAAAATTGAAAATAACAATTCAATAATTTAAAATACCAACGAAAGTTTTAATAAATTTTTTAATTCATAAATAATACAAAATTGTTCTCTAATTTATATATAAAAAAATATTAGCAATACTCTATCTAACATTTATTTTATCTAACACACTTTGTTATTGATGGGAATTTATTAAAAAAATATATATTACATTCATTAGTATATTTTTAAGAAAGATGAAGTATTAAAAAATTATTTCAATAACAGGCTTTGTAACATTTCAAAAAGAATAAAAAGTAATTAAGAAACAATGAAGAATGTGTTATATATATAATATGTATGACTTAATATATTTGTTAAGTCGTAAAATAAAATAATTATCTTATTTATTAAGAAAAAGAATGTTAGCAACATTAGCTTAATTATATTCTTTAACACTCTTGATTGCAACATCGTCTTTATCACTCTTTTGAAAATTAAAAGAAAATTTCTTTTTTATAAAAATGTTAAACGTGAGACTAGAAAGAGAATTTTTTTTTTTTGGTGAAGGCCAAAGATAAGGACTAAGTGATACTATAAAAATTTCAAAAATATAATAGAAATATTTATGACTCGAAAATTATGTAATCAAATATATTAACAATGTTTCAAAATATAACAAATTAAAAAAAAATCTGAAACCTTTATTTCTAAAATAATGTCATGAATGTCTAGTTCAAAAGTAAGAAAATAATGCTATAAATTAGCCACCCCATGTCCCAACGTGCAGAGTCAATCAACTAACCAGGAGCTGGTTATAACAACTAAACAGCAGCCAACATAGTCACTAATGAAGAAATTGATGGCGACAATTCCATTAAACAATTATACAAAGATTAAACATGAAATCATGATTTGACATGACGAGAGAGACATTCTCATTCCGGTGTCTCAACACATTGTCACTCTTTAATGAGAGAAATGAACATTACAAAGTATGTGTCCAGACTCTAGGTTAATTTGTTTTAAAAAGTAATACTTCTTTTAAAGTTTTATGAAAGAAAAATAGAAATAAGTCATTAAATCTCCATTATTTCTCAAACGTGCTAGTAATAGAGGGGAAACAAATGAATTTAAGACAACATAACCAGAGAAAGAAATTATAGAGAAAAGCACATGCAAAGGTTGTAAAATGCATGACACAAATCAATGACGACCACCAAACATACAACAGTTATTTTTCCAGTTAAAAGGCAAAATACCAACACCTATAAAAACTTGTGCAGAAGCAGCATTCCACGTGGGGCAACGTTATCTTTGTTATAAACTAAATGATACTCACAGATTTAGCTCTATGCATTAGATATGCAAGCAAAGCATATTGATCCTGGGGCCATGGCAGGTCCAGCTAAATCACAGAAAATGCCTGTAACAAAAGTTGCTTTCGGAAAAAATAAAATGAGGTAAAACAATGAATATGCTTTGCGTATTTAATGTTCAACGAAAATGAAGGGCATAATTATCTAATGTTTAGACGACATAAAATGGAATGAGTAGATACATTTTGAAAAGAATAAACAACTTAAAATACACTTATTTTATATATTTCCCCCCTACTTTCTGAATATGTAGATCGATTTTAGGATAATATAAGGCCAATGCTATCCTCATTCTCTTTTCCTCAATATCTTCAGTTTTCCAAACAAGAACTTTGACCCAATTTTCATTTCCACCACACCATTTCTTCTCCAAACTAAATTTAATTGTGTGTAAATAAATTGAATACAAAGCATGAGCTAACTGGGCATACTCTCCCATGCTCATCCACAGAAGGTCGTGTAGATCCTCATTCTCTTTTCCTCAATATCTTCAGTTTTCCAAACAAGAACTTTGACCCAATTTTCATTTCCACCACACCATTTCTTCTCCAAACTAAATTTAATTGTGTGTAAATAAATTGAATACAAAGCATGAGCTAACTGGGCATACTCTCCCACGCTCATCCACAGAAGGACGTGTAGGGATTGAAAAAAGGCACTATGGTCTTGTCATTGTCCAAATCAAATCTGTATTCAAAATTTTGGCCAGACACTTTTGGGGGACCTTCAACTTGCTGACTGGATAGAGTTAACGTGGAAGCTAATACCAAAGACCTAAATACTATCGAAAGTAAGAATACAAAATAATGCCATTTGTGAGGAAAACTTCATTCATCATAACAGAAAGAACAATGATATTATGAATTTATGATACATGGGAGTATAACTTAAAAAGAAAAATTAGGAACGTACAAAGTTGATGAAGATACCCTGTGAACACTACACCTCCATAAAACGTTGAATGAAGAGACTAGTACTTTGTGCTTTACTGCTGATATTATGAACCCCTCTTCACTCTAGATAGTCAAGCTACAGCTACCAAGCTTAGGATACCTTGGTCATTTGAGTTCTAGGCAAGCAGCGCAATGCTCAATGTCTATGCTGCTTGGCAGAAAGCTAGTAGTGAAGATATTTTAAAGCTGTCCATCAGAGTCAGACACAGACAAGAAAATCAACACCTGAGAAAATTGATGTTCACCAAAAGAACCATGCAAGAAGTAGCTATATGTTGGTGAAGTTAAACACTGGATACCTTAAATGGAAATCCTTCAGTGATTGGTGATATCTTCCATTGAAGCACAATTTTAGCATTCAACAAAACCTAGAACCTATTTATTGAAAATAGAAACAATAATCAATCACATATTAAAGAAGCTTGCAAAATGAAACCTTCCAAATAAAATATTTTAAAATCACCCATACACTTCATGACAATTCCACTAAAAACCAAAACCAAAAGGATACAGGATAAAAAGAAAACCTTAGCATTTAACAACCCCAAAATTGAAAATTGAAACAAGAATTACAATTTTTATAAATAGACTTTTGCTTTCTTTTGACCAAACTCAACGGTTTGTAACTTTGTATTAAAAATGTAAACTAGTTGCTGATAATTCTATAGGTTAAGCTACTTTCGATATATAACAACAGTACAGATGAAAACGGGTGATATAGGGTGCTCAAGTCCCCATCGAATAGTATGAGATGTTCGATGGAGTACTTGGGTGTCTTGGTTCTCCTCCCCCCTTGGAAGCTAGCTTTCCCTAAATGTTTTGGTGCTTATTGTGTTACAGAAGTTTCTTTATTTACTACTACAAGAAAACAAAACCACTAGAGTTTCACATTTCCTATTTTGAAAATTTTTCCTTTTCTTCTGGTTTTACATGGTATTCAGATCCAGAGCTTGGGGAAGACAGATAGAATCTTGATCCACTGCCAATGGCAATAAACAATCTCACACCAATTACCGCAAAGTTTAAAAGTGTGATAACCTGTGTAAAGCAGTGACTCAAACCAGCCACATAAATATTTTGTTTTGAGTGGCTACAATTTCAGACAGTATCTGAAACTTCCAACCATTAAGACCTAGGAATTCATCATCTCTGCTGTGATTTAGGCATCCATCCTCCATGATGCACCAGTGATTTTCATGGCATGAAAGCAGTGAGTGATCAGACAATCTTCATGTCCTTCTCCAAGCCTTTACATATTTCATACGAAAGGGATGGTTAATTTCAGACATCTTCAAAATGTATTTACTGAAAGGGATGCGTTGTTTTTGTTGAGTTAAACTGACCCGTACTGAATGAATGCTGTTAACAGTAGTCAGTTGTAGATTCTGTTATTAGTCAGAAAGAGCACTCTAACGATGTAATATTGTGATTGCTCTCAATTCGGAGATAACATTTTAATATAGAGCCAGTTCAAAATGTAAACCAGATTCTCTCTATTTTCCCCAGCTTTCTCATTTTTTCTTTCACTTTATTGGAATCTCTACTCATAGCAAAGTTAAAGGATTTTTAGTTGGGTTAGTTACATGCCTAATCTAATAACATTACTTAAACCCATTGATTATCTGGTTTACTGTTCCAAATGGCCAGTCCAAGTTAAGTCTTATAACGATGCCTTTTAGGAAACCATGAGCAAGACACTGTAGTAAAGCCATGAAAACATAACAAAACTAAAACAGTAAATGGTCTGCGTAGGTTTAGCTTTAGCATATAGGCCAGGTCACTTTTTCAGATCATTGGATTTAACCTGACGTATTTCCTATCACAACTTGTTTTTTGCTTGGTTTTACATGTTCATAAAACATAAAAGCTTTGCATGGCTTGAAACCCTGTTTAATAGCTTACATTACATAATCTTCAAATAGGATAGGCTAATTGGATTGGGCTTTATAGGTTTCAAATAAACCCGTATCCTTAACAAAATTATTGCATTATATATTACGTAAATTATAAAAAATAATAAATAGGCTTCTTAAAAGCCTAACCCTGGGCTCGATAATAAATAAGTTTGAGCAAATTTAGGGTCAAACAAAAGGTACCATATGCAGATTTGTAGATAACGCCAATTTGACTTATTTCACATTTACTCACGTACCATACTAACAATGTTGTTTTCTAGCTTACGAAGAAAAAAAAATGATGCAGTAAACAAATTTCATCAGTTACTACTTCAATAAATGAGAACTTACGCTGAGAATCTGAAGAAAGAATTTACAAGTCTCTGATATTATGAACAACAAAACCCTATTGTTGAAGCCTAAGCCGATTGAAGAAGACCAAAAAATGATACTCAGGGGCCCAATACACAAATCCAACAACCGGCCCTGATTTTAGGTGCTGCAAAAATCAACAAAAGGCAAGTTGCAATCAGATTCATTTGCACTGAAGTAAAAAAACAAATTTCAAGTTGGAATTACGACAGCTAAAAAGATCAAATAATTAGGCAAGATTAAAGAATACAAACCTTTCCATCAAGAATAACAAGTTCACCATCAACCCATCGGGGATTCTGAAACCCTGGCTCAGCGAGCCTCCCTTCACCTTTATAGCGAGCAATCTGAAATTACGACAATATCAGAGTAGAAGACGGAACAATCAATGTCCTCTTTTATTCTGAATTAACACCAATTTACTAAAAATTTGTTTGGGGGGTGGGGGGTGAGGGGTGGGGAGAACAATGAGACTGAGTTCAGAACCTCAAGAAGAAAACAAAATTCCATACCACTCCAAACTCTTCAGGAATTATTCCTTTATGAGGAAGTTGATAACTCTTTCCAATTTTTGCACGAAATGCCACCTAAGGTCAAGGAACATAAACAATGAGATGTATGATAAAGATCTCATTATGAGAAAATTACTAGCAAAAAGTGAATGCAAGTTCATTGCAGAAAAAATAATACAAGAAATATCTTGGTTTATGTTAAACTCAGTCAATAATACTCTTAAGAAAGTAAATTGGAAGGTTTAACAAAACCTTACAAAACTGACTTGAAAAGTGAGAATTGCTTCCACTTATTATATACACTATTATAACCATTTCATTAATCGATGTGGGATCTCCAACAAATGCATTGATAAAAGTTTACCAAAGAAAGCAAATTATTCACTTCTGGCAGAACATGTTAAACATTTTCTCTCAACCTAGTATCAAGCTAGAATATTTAGCTCTTATATAGCAAAAGACAAGTGCAATAATCTTAGTTTCCAAAGTTTGAGCAATTAATTATTAAATAAGACAGTTAAAAAAGGTTGTGCACAACATAACCTTTTATATACAGCAGACATACTCACATACATAATATATCCATGTCACAGAACACCCTCAAAAATAGGGGTGGGCAACAGGCAGGTTCGGTCGGGTTTGGGTGAAAAATGTTCAACCCGTTGTAAACTGACTTTGGAAAAATATGACCCATATCCGACCGACTGAGTTTTTGATTTGAGGCGGTTCGGGTTGAAACGGATTCGGATTTGTGGGTACAATCGGGTTTGAGGTTTTTTGTGGACCAAGTTATCTTAACGAAGGTGAAGCTTAAAACGGTAAAAAAAATATTTTTAAAACAGTGTACAAAAGTAGAATGAAGGTAACAATAGATGGTGTAAGTAGATTCGTAAATGAAACATTTACAAACTAAAGAAGCAAAAACAAAAGATAACAAAATCCATAATTGTTACATGCAAAATAAATCTAAAGTTAGATTATAAAATCCATAAGAAACCACTGTCGCACAAGTTGTACTCAAAATGGAGATAGGAAGATGGAAAAGAAAGATAAAGAAAGAGACAAAAAGAAAAATTTAAAAATAGACAAGTGTGTTGAGAAATTGAATGAGGAAGGAGAAAACAAAATAAATATCTAGGTTATGAGAAAAAGAAGAAAAAAAAAGTTACAAATTGATGGTTATATTATACTTGAAATAAAGACTTTTGAGTTTGGACCATTGTTGTTTAGTTATACAAAAGTAATAAAAATCTAAATTTATCTCATTGTCGATTGGGTTCGGTTTTTAGCGGGTTTAAAAATTTAAAACCAAACCCTCCCAATATAACCCGTATAAAATCAAAATTTTAACCCGATTTACCTATAAAACCCGCCCAAACCCACCCAAAAATAATATTTTTTTTATCGGGTTTTTCGGGTTCGGTTCGGGTCTCAGTTTTATGCTCACCCCTACTCAAAAATATGCATGGATGGCACTTATAGCCAAGATATGCATGCTAAGTTGCTAACACAATGCATAGAACCATTCAAAATTGTTATCAATCAATACATCCAGCACAACACGTTACTAAGCTTGTTACCCCAAGTTAAAAAAGGTTGTGCACAACACAACCTTTTATATACAGCAAAAATATACATAATATATCCATGTCACAGAACACCCTCAAAAATATGCATGGATGGCACTTATAGCCGAGAAGAGATATACATGCCAAGTTGCTAACACAATGCATAGAACCATTCAAAATTGTTGATCAATCAAAACATCCAGCACGACACGTTACTAAGCTTGTTACCCCATGTTACTTCCGAAAACATTGTGGTGCTAAATATGTTATGACTGTACTGATGTGTTAACATACAAGAGTTTCATTTTTCCTTTTTTATATTCTGTCCACGCGTGGTTTCAATCTCAACAATGCATTAAAAGCACCTTAAAAGGCTGGAAATATCTGCAAAACATTCAAAGGAAACAAAAGGGCTCTCTAGAGTCTACACCTCCACAAATAAAAATTGATAGCAAAGCTAATTGATCTCATCTTCCTACAACACTAATAGAAAATATGAAGTATCTTGCAAAAACATCATAATCAGGGTAGATAAACTATTGCTACCAAGTTCACAGTATTCTCAACACAAACTTCCTATAAATTTTGCAAGCACAATTAAAAACTGTATTTCCCACACAAAGAGGTTGCTATTTCAACTGCCTCCCCCCACTTTTTGTCCCAGGACCTCAGATTGCATATAGATAAAACAATATCACAAAATAGTAAAGGATGGAGATGGAAACAAAAATTATTGTGATAGTCAACCAAAGTCTACAATATTACCTGGCCAGCTGGTACATAAGGATCCCCTGTTAGCTTCAAAGCTTCTACATACTCATAAAACTCCAGATCTGAAGGCTCCTTAGCCCCATTGTCCTCTTGCCACTGACCAAATCTACGACTAAGATGAATAACTTCAGAGGAGTAAAGCCCATGTGCACCAATGTATAGACCTGATGAAAATGAAAATATTTGTTACATGGTTTACTCTACACTAGAGATTAAAAGCTTCTTAGATTCAGCAGTCAATATTCAGCACCTCATTAATCAAATTGATAAATTCCTAGAAAATCACCATTTAAAGGATCAAACGAAGTTGGTATTTCGATGCGATTGAAAATTGTTGATCCAGATAATTTGTGATGGTTCTGAGCCTGGCTAAGAGTGAGATTTATCAATTCTCCCACCTCTTTCAGCACCTAAAAGATTGAAGCAAAGCACTATAGTCTAAGCAACTTATGGATAGGTTCACCAAGGTACTGAATTATGCAAAAATTATAATTTGCAATATATATTCAACTATTTAGACCTACCTTTGAGGGTATCTTTCCTTTGCCAATGAATTTAGCAAGGTCAAAAATAACATGATCAACTCTGCGTCGACCTTGAAACTTAGTTGATTTATCAGGCGAAGATTTTCCTTTGTCAAGACCAACCTGCTGATTGACTTCTTTTTCAACAGTAAAGGAAAATGAACCACGCCCCTTCATCTCCAGTTTAGCAGGAACTCGAAGCAAATCTCTAGTGGATAGATTATTGGAAAGTTTCTGAACAAGGCCACCAATGGCAATTTTGACAGCAAACTCATTCTGTTCTTCACGTTCGAAAGTTCCCAGACCAGCATTTACTTCAATCTCATCATCTCCCTCCTGATCAGTTTCAGACTTAATGTCTTCCAGCTCTAGACTTTCTGTACCATTTTCCTTCTCCTCATCTTCGTCTCCTTCTTCGTCTTCATCTTCGTCTTCGTCTTCATCTTCGTCTTCATCTTCGTCTTCGTCCTCATCTTCATCTTCCTCTTCAATTATTTGTTCAATCACCTTAGGTAAATCCTTGTCTACTTTCTCTGGAGTAATCACCTTGAAAACCTTTACCTTTACACCAGGAATCATATCTTTCAAGACATTCTGAAATCCAGGCATTCCCTCAGCTGGATCAGAGCCATCATTCCTATCATCACCATTTTCTGGATCTTCAGTACTCACAACAAACAGCTCACTTTTGTTTTCAGTAGACTCCACTGGACTCAGTCTTCCAGCTGCATCCAATGCTTTAGAGGAGGTTGTTGGGGGTCCATGGAAGGCTCCTCTTCGTTTTAAGTACACAGCCTGAAAATTAAAAGAATATCTTATTGCAGTATTGCTATTGGACAACTATATATTATGATTGTGTTATGCATTATTGTTATTATAATTGCTTTTTTGAAAGAAAAAAATTATTAGTCTACTTTACAATGACTAGTGAACAATAACTTTCAAATGTGGGGTGTGTCTTTGTATATAATCGTTTTACTACTCTCCTTCATGTATAGTTGGCACTCTTCATACTTTAATTGGACAAAACAAACCATTTTTTATCTCATCTTACACACACACAAAAAAAATAACAACAACAAAGTTAGAACCCTGAATCTTGTGCATACTACTCCCACCTTTCCACCACTAGGTCCGATCCTAATAACCACTGTGAAACCATTCTCTCTTGAATAACTACAAACAAAACCTTCATTTCTTCTAATAAATTGTATTAATTGAAATATATTAATCTTAATTAATCAATAATCCAATGTTAGATATTTTCAATAACGATGATGATATAAAATTACATACCATCAATTGTACATGCTATGCTTGACCTTTATTATTATTGTATTGATATTAATTTTAATTTTTAAATGATAGAGAAAAAATATGGTACTTTTATTACAATTTTAAAAATGATTCAATAAGTTTTTTTTTATAAGTAAATTACTATATTTTTTATTTTTATAAAATAATAATGAGAAAAAGTTCTAGGTTGGTAGATATATGGTTCGTAACTATCAGTTTTTTATTACTAAAACAGACAGTGCAATTTAACTGATTTAAGTTGAGTAGAAAGTGTAGAGTGCTGACCTACTACACATGAAGGACAGTAGGTACCCATTTCCCATTACAGAATGCACACACTGGGTCACACACACCATAAATTTCAGAAACAGACATTTTAATTCATATCAAATATGGGCCCCATAAAGGAACATTTTATCTTTTTGCAATAAAATTGTGTGGAGTGCTGACCTACTAAACATGAAGGACAACAGATTAGCATTCTCCATAAAATAGCGTTTGGTTGGAGGGGAGCAAAATCCCTCCTCATTTAATTTTAACTCTCCTCAAATATTGGGGAGATTTGGAGGGGAAGGGAGAAATTTAAAAACATTTTGAACATAATATCCAAGATATCCTTATGTCTTAAATTTAAAATTAAAAGGATACAAAAAGTAAATTGATTTTTAAAATCATTTCCCTCCCCTTGTGAACCAAACAAGGAAAGAGTTACCTCTCCTCCCTTCAACCTAACAAAATTTCCCCTTCCCCTTCCTCCATTAAAACCCCTCCTTTCCCCTCCTTTGAAGGACCACACACATGGGGTCACACAATAAATTTCAGAAACAATCATTTTAATTCATATTAAATATGGGCCACAGGTGCAAAGTCAACAATAAGACTCAACTTAGTTTTGCCCAATGTTATGATTTGAAAAGCATAATACGTTAAAATGACAAAAGGCCTCCATTTTAGGGAGCTCACCATCAAATTGCATTTGTCAATTGAAATTTAAGACAATGTGAAGCTCCAAACACTAGGGATTAACAATGCCCAAGTGTGTTTGAATCTCCTTCTGAAGTTTTAAAAAAAAAATCCAACCCAAAAGTGTTCCATTTCCATTACTAAAATCCAACTCAGCACCAAGCAACCAACAATCCAAATTGGTTGGTATTCCCATCTGTACATAATTTTTTAGAACATCATATGTACCAGCAAATTATAAATCTAATATTCATAATTAAGATACATTAGAGTACAAAATAAACAAAAAAAAAAAAAACTTAATTTGGATGGTCAACTACAAGCAATATGCTTGATTCTTGTATATAATACCAGTTCCTCCACCATTATACACATGGACATTTTAAACAGAATAAGGAAGCAGAAAACTTGTTTACCAGTCAACATAGAAGATGATCCTTTTCATACTTCATATATTCAGATTCAGATAGCAAAGTTTTGAATGGGGGAAACAGAACACAGATCCAGTGACATTAGTTTTGTCTATGAAAATGAGTAATTTAGTTTGAATTTTAGAGAATATTGTTTGCTGTTTATATAGCAATGATCCCAGCAGAAATAATAGAACTATGGGTTCAGTCAAGAAGAGATACCTGTGACTTGAATTCACCTTTTTTATCCATTGTAAGAAAAAATTCAAATAGAGGAATGCCAGCAGCAGATGTTGCAAGTTGCCTACAAAAATATGGTAAAAGGGTTATAACACCAGAAGCCACACAAGGTAGTAGCAGAACCACATAAAATATCTCATGTACAGAAATTCCTTGAAACACGTCAAAAATGCAAAGTCGTTTCCAGACAAGCAAATAATAAACTAATTCCCCAAGAAAGATTTCATACAAGGAAAACAGATGGCATTTAAAATACGTGTAACCGTAAACTTACATAGAGAATGAGTGTATACAACTTTGTCTAATTATAATCTGAGCATAAGACAACCAGATTATGTAAAAGCAACTTATGTCACTAATTACTATCTGAAATTGCTAAGCTCATCAAATTGGTCAAAGGTTATAGCTACAGATCCCAGCAACAATTTAAAAGTAATTCCAGATAAATTTTTAGAAGACAGTCAAAGACAAGGTTAGCAAAGAAAGACAAACTAGACTCTAAATTAGCCTCATTTACTCACTTGTTTAATTACTCTGAAGCAGAAACAATTAGAGTTGAAGTCAAAGCAACTTATGTCACTCAACAAACTTGTTTAAAAATAATAATAATATTACTCCCTACCAATCTGTTTTGTTCAATTGTTTAGCTTCTCAGTTTATGCACATATCAAATATATTATCTTATCTACATCAAGTTAAACCTTGAATCCTATGACTGTTGCTATCATGCAGAAAATTTATACCAGTGAACACATGGAAAGAAAGAGAAGGCTGGAAGGTTAACCAAATTAATAAGGCTGAAAGGTTAATCAAGCTAATAAGGCTCCTACTAACTTAATATATATACACAGGACGACAGGAAATAGAGCCAGAGTATATGCACATGATCTTATCCAATTATCTTTAGCACTACCCCCTTAAACTGGACTATAAATATCAATTGTACACAGCCTGTTACAGACGAAGTCAGTCTTTACCCAAGTTAAAGTCTTCAAATAAGTCTTATAATTATTATTGCTTCTGAAACATAAGTAGAAAAAATATTGTCTATATTCTCCCCAAGATATTAACAATATATTTGAATATGTTTTGTCCTCTGTTGAAATAGACTAAAAATGCAAAGCTGATTGACTATAATACCTTGATCTGACTGGGGAGCAGTTTGCTAATGCAATTTCACACCATCTTGTATACATATAACTAAAAGCCACCTCCAACAGCACAGGGTAAAAAAAGCTGGAGGCAGAAATCTAACCAGTAACTAGCTTCTCCCTGTATCTTTATTTATGCATAAATGAACCGGGGCTACAAGAGTAAAAGCACATAAGCTAAGGTCCACTTGGCTAAATTTATTTGAGTTTATATGCTGCAATAGGCACTTACGAATTGCAAAGTATTTTGACCATGTTAGGATGAGCTTAATAAAAGATTTTTAAACCTACAAAAGCAACATCGTGGCTAAGACTAGCAAAAAGGGAAATTAGGTGGCAATCATAAATAAGTCATATTCCTAACAAAAGATTGCACAGTTCCTAGCTTTCAGTTTCTGGTTGGGTATAATCTGAAACAACTGAGTCATAAGAAATAATGAACTACCAGTTTCCACACATCTAATTTGGTGGAACTCTGAACCCAAATAATTTAAGACACCTTCAAATACTCCATTCCTCCATAGTGAAATGCAAAAGTGGTGGAGCATCTCCTTTACCAAAATAAGCTTTTCATATAAGAGTCAAAGAGCCCACCAAGCTTTTTACCATCAAGATAAAGAAATTACCTAGGGCTATAACTCCTTGCCACATATCTTCCATGCTCAGGTGTTATGCGAATAATTAGACCATGTGGATCATTAACATCTTCTGAAATACCAGACCACCAACCCACCTACAAGAGCCATTACATGTCAATTTTAAAGGATTTATTGATAAGCTCAACAGATATAATAAAATTACAAATCAAAATCAGATGTTAAAAACAGTTCAATTTATTAGCAGAGCACAAAACAATAAAATGTCATTTCAGGATATTAAACCATTTGAAATAATAATAAAGGTCAAAGGATACATTCTGCCAACTCATATGTGAAGGAATTAGAACCATAACTAAAACCAAAGTAATAAAAATCTAGAAACACAATAATAAACAAACCAAGTATGCTCATAAATGAACTTTTACTTGCTATCTTCTAATATTGGCTGTCAATAGATTCCACAGCCGATTGCAAGATTCTCTTAATGACTTTGTCATATAGCAACAAGGAAAATCTAATCTTGGTGGTGCAAACAAATTTTCAAATAAGTAACAGCAATTTAAGGCAGCAGATACAAATATTACTTGGTTAACCCTTTGACATTGCATCTAACATTCTATTTCCACCACAATGCAAAAATATTTTTGCAAATTGTATTAAATAAATTATATCAGAACTCACAAGTCCAGCACCAGCTTTATCTCTTAAAAAAACTGCATCACCATACCGCTCCTCTTTTATGGCACTCTGAAAGATTAGAAAACATACTCATAGATTTAAAACACATACCGGATTATGAAAAAGAAAGCACAAAATTGGAGGCCAGTATAAAAAAGCTTTGATTTTCAGAATATAATCATGTCAATTAAAATTCCTACATTGAGATAAGACATCACTCTTCCAACACTGTCATTGTTAGATGCAGCTGCTAATGCCACCTTAAGCCTGGCAGCATCTTCGTAATCCTCCAAATATACAGCACGACTTAACTGAGACTGTCAAGCACAAAATTATGTCAGTAATTAATTCTCACCAAACCAAAAGGCCAGCCAATGATTTGACACAAGGGTTCAAAGAAATCCTACTTAAAGTGTAGCGTGTCTAATAATATTCACCATGGACAAGTAAAATAAATTTGATAGCACTAAAATTTAACAAAAGGCTTCTCCATGTAACAACAAGCACATGCCAATTGCCATTAAATTTTGACAAAAGACCTGTTTGGATAAACTTCTCCATAAGCATTTTTAGAAGAAAAAAATATGAAGGAAAATCAAAATAAGTTTCTCCAAACCTAAAACTAGCTTATGCATAAATTAAAAGTAAGATTTCGGAAAAGTTAATAGAAAATAGCTTCATAAGTTAATTTTAGCTTATGGAAGTTTCTTTTCTTATTTTTCTCTCCAAAAAGTGCTTCTAACGAAGTTTGTCCAAGCAGACCGAAAAACTCCTTCAAAACAATATTGACTGTTGACTGAAAGCAAGCAAATATTTGTAACCAGGAAGCACCTCTTACTTCAAGTATTAAAGAACGCCATGTGTTAATTAAAAGAATAACCAAAGCTTTAGAGAAAAAGACGAATGCATATCTTAAGCGAAGAAGTGTTATTAAGTAAAAGATGCTAGAGTTGCGAAATACTAGAACTACAAGTTTTGAACGTTGTTGTTGTTGTTTCTGCTGCTGCTGTTATTTCTAGCAAGCTCACAGCAATATTCCTAATTCTAGACATGAAAAATCCTCGGATAATAAACCGAATCCCTCGAAGAATGACGAAACGCATTAACATCGATTCACGACAAAAACTTGCAAGAGAAGCAGGGGAAAAGCGCGGAAGAAGAGGCGAATTGAAATCCGAGGGACGTGAAGGTGAAGGTGTACCTTGAGAATCGAGAGGAGACGCTCCTGGTCGTCGATTTCCTGGAAATGGCGGCGCCAGCGGTCCCAATCCCAGTCCTGGTCGGCGGCGGGGTGGCGATCATCGGGAGCGTTGCCGAAGGAGTTCCAGTAGGAATCGAAGCGCTTGGCGACCTCGGCGAAGTGGTGGAGGACGGAATCCCATCCGCGCTTGGCGAGGCAGCGGCAGCGGCAGGGGGATTGCGAGGGGAAGGGGAGGAGCGAGGGCGTCCGCGCGGGGAAGGGAATGGAGAGCTTCTGCTTGGGGAAGGTGAGGGTGGGAGCGGAGATGGAAGCCATGCGAAAGAGGGAGGAATGGATATGTGTGTGTGTCGCTGAATGGTGATAGATTATTCTTCTTCTTGTTGAGTTGTTAAGTGAATGGGAGGCTGGGATCTTCGCTGTGAAATTTTTCGGAATGGATCTTCGCCTCCAAAGATTTTCTAGCCACAAGGGGATAAGGATCAATTTTCTTTTCTTACCTTCCTTCTCCTCTCTCTCTCTCTCTACTAATTTCCTTCTTTTTCTTTTCACCCTGCCTATTCATTGGTTTGGATTCTCATTCGAAAAAGGTTCAACTTTCAGCAACACCTACCACTAAGCAAATTATTTTTACGGGCACCTTGTGATTTGTGATATTGTGTTAAAATATATTAACTTATTTTTATAAGATAAAATACTTTTTTTTAAGTCTATATAGTTTCATTTATTTATTTTACTTTTAATTTTTATAATTTCAAATAGATATTTTTAATTTATTTATTTATTTTTTATTATTTTTTATTTTATAATTTAAGATGGATCTTTTTAATCTTTATATTTATAATTTCTTTTAATTATTTTTGTTATTATTATTATTATTTTAACTTTATCTCTTTTATATTAATATCATATGATATTTTAAATTATAAAAATAAAAAAATATATTTTAAATTTTTAAATTATATTATTAATAAAAATTATTTACCAACTTCGTCTATAACTAATATTCATTAAAGAATCTAGCCTAAGATATCTTCTTTTGATTATGTTTATATGGGAGTAACTTTTTTAAAAATTATTTATAAAAAATTATTTTTGTGCATTAAAAGTAAAAGAAAAAGATCTACTGTAACAAAATCAATAAATGTAATAAATATATCATATAAAATTATTTATTATAATAAATTAATAAATTTGTCATACATTATAATATGCAATTTCACGAAAATATATATATATATATATATAAAATTTTTAAGTGAGTATTAATTTTCTTATTTATTTATTTAATAGTGGCACATACAATTACTACTTATATAAGATAATACTATTTATATACTATATATTAAGAGAAAATAAATTATTAATACAAATATCAATAGATTTGATCTCTTATTTTATTTCAACTTTTGAAATATATATATATATATATATATATATATATTTTAAATTAAATTATTTATATACTTATATATGTAATAATTATCGTGCATTTTTTTATTTAGATCATTAAATTGAGATATCATTTTAAATATGAACGTAATTCCTTAAAAAGTGAACTTAATTAAAAAAAATTATATGCACACTAAATATAAATATAACATGTTGGTTCTAGTAAAAGTATAACAAATCTCTTTAATAAAGTGTCAATTTAAGTCTTATGATTAGAAATGAAGGGTATGCTTGTATCTTCATTAGTTCCGTTGAACTTAAAAGCTTCGTAAATTAATTTTTATGTTTAATGGGACATTAGAATTTAGGGATGATGTAAAACAAACAAACTAGAAGTCCTTTTAATATAAGGAGTTAAGTTTTTTTTATAGAATTTAATCATTATAAAGTCCAAGAATATTACAGAGTATATGGATATTTCATATAATAGCATAGTAATTAAAAAAATTAAGATTCAATTCTAATATATACTTAGATAAAATAATGATAGAAGAAGGATTATAATTTATGTATGAGAACTATAATCAAATGGCATAAATAGATATATCATTTTTATGTTTTAAAAAATGTAAAGATAAAACAAAAAAGAACTACATTCTAATATGTAAAACACTTATAGAATTAGTCATCAAAAAAAGAAGCAAGTCAAGGGAAGCTGCTTGTCTAAATTTAGATGTATTGATCATGAGTACCATTATACTTTGTCAAGAAATCAACACACGTTATCCAATTTAAAGAAACAAAATGTTAATTCCTTTTTAAAAATAAGTAGTATGGATGAAAAACGTCATTTTCTTTTATCAACTTCAAAGTCATAAGAAAATCTGATTCACAAATAAGATTTCTAAAGTCCATAAAAGATACTTAATAACTTCGCTTTGAAGTTGATAGAGATCTTACAACATTTCAAAAAACTTGAAACACGTTATCCATCCTAATCATGAATTATACCTCCAAACCTAACACATCTAAAGTTTCCTAGTGAGCTATCATTGGTTTTCAATTTGAAGACTAAAAAAATTGACGGTTCCTATTTTAGTGTCCTACTTCTAACCTCCCTCATCTTCAAAGTTTTGTAAAGAGTATTACTATTATCTACAAAGAGAATCCAAATTTAATTGATAATCTTCCACATGTCCCGTTTAATATCTTCTACAAATATATATTTAGTCTAGCCTTAGTAATTTGCATATGTAATTTGATATAATTTGGAATTTTACATCCTAAGCACAAGAAATTTTTGACATTGTTAAAAATAAAAAATAATAATTTAAAAAAAAAAACTTTTGTGTTTGTTCTAATCTTGATTAAAAATGTAGTCTACATCAGAACCAGATGAACACATGTCCCACCTAAGCCCAAATAACTACCGGATGAAAATGCATTTTAAGTGTAATTAAAGCACTCCTAATTGTAGACCGGAGGGAAAAAATACTCATAATGCTTTACAAGTACACCCATTATATATCTATGATTTCTGCGTAGGCAGACATTTTATCAAGACAAGAAGCACGATTTGGTCAAGGTTTAAGGACAGATAATCCTTGCACCAACAATTAGAAGAAAATAACTTGGACATCATTGAATTACTTTTTATTTTAAAAAAATATACATTTTTACACTGTTCTTAAAGAGTATTTGAACACAAAAGTAAAAGTCAACCAATTTATGCACGGTCAACCAATGAGAGCAGAATTTAATACATCAACATGTAACATGAAAAACTTTATTTAAGGTTGTTTCCATTGGCCATACCACAGAGCCTGAACCATAAGCAATGAACATATATTGACACATTACTGCGTAGTTTACGAGGACTTCTTATGCAATAAGGGGTCACTGATGACTTGTGGCTCAAAATCTGGTTTCACATAACGGGCAAGTGTGTCTACATATAACTCGTACCGTGAAGTCATTCTGAAACCCCACTTGTCTTTCACCTGCCTACACAAGTTAAGATCCATGTCTGTTACTAATAAGCCATCCCTGTTACGAGACAGAGATGGCGTGCATGATGCATCAGGTGCTGAAACATAACTGGATCCATAAAAGTGCCCAAAATCTGCATGTGCTGGCTTTCCATCACCAGAAGTAAATGCATTGGGGAATGTCTCAGTCCCAACGCGGTTGATTGAAGCAACAAAGTAACTATTAGCTATTGCAGCATTACGTGCCTGAAAAACAAAAACACTTTCAAGCCGTACACAGATATACTACAATGTTGATGCTTCAAAAGTATAAAATCTGACTGTTTCTATATTCAGTCAGTACAGGTTAAGCAGGAAGAACAACACATGCCAATTCTGTTAAATTTAAACCCTCATGTGGGTGCATTTTAGAGTGGAAAGAGCAAAGTGATATCCGACTATCAGAAAATCAATGTTGAGATTATGATAAATCACACACACACATATATATATATATAACAATTACGAAGTTGTTAAAATATCTAACCATTAATTGGACTTTCCACTCTACCCTCTGAAATAAAAGCATATCCCACACTAAAGTCCAATTTTCTAGAGCCACTTATGAACTAATTTCATTCTATAGGCTTTAGCATCAAATTATAGGTTAAAGTTGTATATAACCCATCATGAAAGAGCCCTATATTCAATATAAGAACCAGAAACAATGATTAGTTAAAAAGAATTTAGCCAGTGCTAGTAAATATAAAGCCTCTAACCTCTATTGGCCACATTGGTTCGCTGAGTTCACCAACAGTAGCAGAAGGGTTGAAAACAATCTCCGCACCATTCAAGCCAAAGGCTAACCAATTTAAAGGATGGTGCCTACCATAACATATATTAATGGCAATCTTTCCAAATGCTGTTTCAAATACAGGGTGGCCAGTATTTCCTTCCATGTAGTATGTGCTTTCATTGAAGTCCCCAACTCTTGGTATATGGTTCTGCCAAAGGTTGTATGTTCATAAGATAGATGATAGATAGGCTTTTGGCATTAAAATTAGAGACTGAAACTTAGGCAATTACCTTCCTGTGTTTCCCAATTATATTGCCGTGATTTCCAATTACAACTGCAGTGTTCCATATAACCTCTCCATGGTTAATATCCCTCTCAAGAATTGAACTAATAATCACCATATTATATTTCACTGCAAAGCTTTGCAAAAATTTTGTTGATTCACCATCAACAGGTTCTGCAAATTCACACCATCTCTTCTCTCGTGTGCAGAAGGCAAATGGCATCATCCATGCTTCCTACAATGGAATAATATAAAAACATATAAGATTTCCAGACAACTGCGTGAAATCAATTGGCAAATGCTCATAGTCATGCACCCTACTTGCAAGCATAATATGTTGACACCAGAAGAACCAGCAGCATCAATTATTGGCTTTAGTTTCTCGAAGATAGCCTTCTTTTGGTCCACAAAGTGAGCAGTTGTTGGAAGAGAAATAGAGTTCTGAATCAAACCAACCCTTACTACCCGAGGTTCTCGCAATAGTTCTTTGTCAGCACAAAAGGAAAAGGCCTGAAATAAACCAAATTAAAATTCACTAGATCAACCAGAAATATAGCACAAATAACTGTTCGAAATTCTATGCAGAAGAAAGATGCTGTGGTTAATTAATGGACTAAACTAAAACCATATCATTTAACCAAAAAGAGTAAATAGCCTCCAACAATGATTAGTTGTTCCCCTAGTCATAATCCATAAAGTATGCTTGGAAGGAGTGAAAATAGGAGAAATGAAGGTGACAAAGCATTTTGCTATAAGGTATGTCTAAATGCATCCTTATGTTTATTTCTTCAATTTTTGCTCCTGCTACGCACACCCTTAAGCACTAGTTCCTAGAGTGTGGTCTTTGCATGAGTATAAATAAAAACAACTCATCTACCTTAGTGCTTCACTTCCTTATCGACAAAGCTAGAAACACATCTAATAAAGGTTCAATTCACTTTGTAATATGTTTAATATTCATAATAATATAAAAAATTCAAGAAACTGATTTTTCTCTCATATACGCATAGCACAAAACCACATGTCAAAAATCCCCAAAAGCAAATTGCAGTTTCATTTCACAAAGATATACACAACATTTTAACAGAAGGAAATGAAAAAAAAATCCATGATCTAGAAGGCATAGTACAAAGCACATAAATGTGCCTAGACATTTGCTTCAAAACATACTTTTCAGAATTTAGCACATATTCCATGATCAAGGAATTGGAAGTTGACTTCAGCTTTTTTGGGTGGAAATAAATAACGAGCCTCTTTCAAAAGCTCTTTCAAGATGTGAAAAAGAAAATCAATTATTTCTTGAAAAGAAGTTGAACCAAACACAAGTATAAGCAAGTTAACTTAATCCAACATTCTTTCATACCTGAAGGTCAAATCCATGTTCTACAGAGAGGGCAGTCGCAGATTCTGGGAGAGCAATTGTTTCAAGTGCTTTTCCACCATTAAGCCCAGTAAGCAAACGGCTGACTTCCTGCAACATGGCACAAAGTAGTATAACAGTGAGCCATAAGCAAAAAGTGCAATTCTAACATGTGATTGATGCATTAAAGCAATTTAAGAAGATGATGTTGGAAATGTACAGCTAAACAAATTTGCCTGAATTATTTACAAATGGAAAATCCTAGTCAAATATTTAAAAACTTGTCAAAATGTTCAATTCCTTCTTACGTGTGGAAAGTCAAAGGATTATGATAATCCAGATCCCTTGAAAGTTGCATGTGAAAAGTAAAACATACAAACCCAAGGCATGAATCAATAAAAAAAAAAATACAAATAAAAAAAAAAAAGCGAAATAGAAAGTTAAGTATTGGCATGAGTGAGGTGAAGGCTTGAAAGAGGGTACCTGGAAGTGATGGGGGTTAAGATTATCCTTGAGAAGACGGTGAAGAGAATCGTAGCCACAAATAGAGGCCTTGAGTTCTTCCTTTTCTCCGTTTTGGGGCTTCTCCATCTCCCACGTTCCTCACTCTCGATCAGCGTAAGCTCAGAGTGGCGCTGTTATGATTCGATCGATGATAACGATAATATTTTAAAGTATGATGAACACAATCAGACAAGATAATCTCTTCTCATCGTCAACACAATCACGTACTCACGGTTCGAAACCAGACAAGATCGTAATCACGTGTACCCCTTATTATTTCCCCCACCTATTTACATAGTTTTCATTCTATATGTTTTCGTATTACTATCTTCTCTCTCATCTCTTTCGATATTTAGGTGCACACGAACTTTAGAATTAGTGCACGATAACATTATTAAGACGTCTAACTTTTTCTAATAATTTCGAAGGTATCAAGTTAAATACACGCATATTTTTTAAGCAATTTTTCCTATTTTGCTTCTTTAAAAATTTTAATATTAAATTTGCTATTATAAAAATTATTTTTAAAATATTAATTTTATTATTTCAAAAAATATTTTTTAGAATAATGAGATCAGTGTTTTGAAAAAGAAATTATATTTTTTACATGTTTATAAAAAATACTAAATTTATTGTTCTGAAAGTAACTTTTCAAAATTATGTAAGAAAAAATGTTAAAAAGTGCCTTCTAAAATAATAAAATTAATGTTTCAAAAAATATTTTTTGAAAGTGCATTTTATATAATTTTGAAAAGTTTTTTTCGAAACAGTAAATTTAGTATTCTAGAAAATATTTTTTGAAACACTAAGGAGACATTTGGTGGGGGAGAAATTTTTTCATACACAAGAATCATATTCTTGGAAATAACTAAAATTTTTTAAGTTACTCATAAATGTTCTTAAGAATTTTCATGCACAATTTTCAAGAATTAAATATTTTCACATTTGGTTACAATAATATATTTTTGCGTATATAATATCCTTTGTTAAAATATTATCATTGGATATATTTATTTACTCAACTTTTATTACAAATATGATGAAACTATTTTAAAAAGTTGAAAACTTATAAAGGAACTTCTTGGTAAGTTGATTTAGGAGTTGTTGAGTTCACCACATAAGTCTTGGGTGTAGATCCTACAAGATAAATTTTTGCGAGGTCACTCGATACTAGTTAGGGTAGAACAACATGGACAATCTTATATATGGACAAACATTCTTAATTAAAGCATTACCATTTCTTAAGGATAGCTTTATTCCTTATCTTGGTTCAGGAAGTTCCTCTTTTTGGTATGAAGATTGGTTGGGAATGAGACTACTTTGTCAACTAGTTCTCTACGTATACATTAGCGATTAGAAGATCAAAGTTGTTGAATGTTGGCATGAAAGTTCTTGGAACTTGAATAATTTGCACACATTACACCCTTCAGAGTTGGCAAATCACATTTTACAGGTGCATATACCTATGAATTTGATAGGGATTGACACATTTAACTGGGTGATATCCATCGCATAGTTATATTGTAACAATGAGATTCTAATCAATATGCACGGAGGGACATGCTACGAAAACTTCATAATGGAAACATCTTTGGAAGTTGTTTATTCCAAAGAAGATGAAGTTCTTTCTTTGGTAGGGATTGCATAATGTCCTTCCAATTAATGAGGTTCAACTGCGGAGTAATTTAGCTTCGAGTGAAGCTTGCATGAGATGTTCATATGGGATGAAATATTTCATCCTCTTTTTTTTTGTTACAAGTTGTCTATTGTAGCTTAAAAACATTGTTAATCATCTAGATGCAACGAGGTTGATACTTGGAGTATGGTGGATTTGGCATTTTCATAACCATATGGTCTTTGAGACAAATTGGTCGTGGACTATGAACTATATTGTGAGACAGATAACATTAGATATATCACATAATGCACTCTATTTGAGATTTAAGTCTTTTTGGTGGTACACTACAAGAAATTCATTAAATAGAGACTGATTTAGAGACCAAATTTATATAGTCACTTTAGCAACTTATTTAAATACTATTTTAGAGATTAATTATAGTTGGTCCCTAATTCAATCTCTATTGTTATTAATATTTTTAATGTAATTAGAGACCAAACTTTTAGTAGTTAATAGTTTAAAAAATATTATTTATTTAATTAGATACAACTTTTTTAGTCTCTAATTAAAATATAATTTGAGACAAAATTTTTGGTCACTATTAAAACACTTTAGAAACCAATATTTTAGTCTTAAGATGCACTAAAATTAGAGAAATTTTCTAGTTTCTAATTTAAATATTACTAGAGATTGATTTTTTGGTCACTATTAACTCAATTTAGATACCATTTTTTAGTATCTAATTGTTCTATATTAGAAACTAATGTATTAGTCTCTAATAAAAATATAACAAGAAACTAATATTTCAGTCATTGTTAAATTATTTTAGACACAAAAATATTTGATCTCTAATTAAAATACACTAGTAAATAATAATTAATTTTTTATTCACTATTAGCTATTTTAGATTTTCTTTAGTATCTAATACAGAAATATAATATACAACTAATTTTTCACTCATTGTTAATTTATTTTAGATAAATTAGACTCTAATTAAAATACACTAAACATTGATATATTAAAATTAATAAAATTAAAATATTAATATTATTTATATAATATTTTGTTTTATAACTATCAAAGCCTAATCTTTAAATTTATATTTTATCTAACTTATCAAAACTCAAAATTTTCTAAAGTGTATGGCATGAATATATATTGATACCATTATTATCTGATTAATTATATACCAAAAAAACAAATTAAGAACCTAAAGCATAAAAGATCTAGCTGTGTAAGAGATGGGCTTCAAGGGTTACTGAATAATTTAATAATAATGAACAAAGGTAAACCTTTTGAAAAAAAATAAAAAAAATGAACCAAGACATTTTCGTTCGTCGTAAACAGTAAATCAGCAGCAGAAACAAACACTACGTGAGCATCGAATATAGGAGCATCCACGATTTCTTCTTGTCCAAGTGTGGAGTGTTCATCTTTAAACCCTCACCCTCACCTTTACCTTCTAATTTCGACTCTCATGTTTAGGTCGCTGAGGGTGCTTGAGCTTGTGGAATCTGTGGTAGAGGTAGAGGATGATGAAGAGGTCAATTGGTTTTCGTGTTTTCCCGAGACCCAAACCAATATGGAGTCTCTTGTGTTTGATTGTGTTGAGTGTCCTATTAATTTCGAGGCTTTGGAGGCTTTGGTGGCTAGGTCACCTCCCTTGAAGAAGCTTTGTTTAAACCGATGTGTCTTCATGGCTCAGCTTTACTAGTTAATGGTTCGAGCTCCGTAGCTTACTCACCTTGGAACTGGCTCATTCAGTGCTACGGAGGGTGCGCTGGTTTCCGATCAAGAGTTGGATTATGCCGCCGCATTTGAGCTTTACTAGTTAATGATTATATTATGCCATTGTGTGTTTTGATTGTATTCTTGTGGATTTGAATTTCGATTTGGGGCTGATTGGTGTTTGGATGTTGTTCTTGTACAGGTGCTTGATTCGATATGCGATGAAGGGCTTCAGGCAGTGGTTGTGGCTTGCAAGGACTTTATAAAGAGATTAACATAAGTGAGATTCAATTAGTTCTTTATGTATACAAAGTCGATTTTTGAAGTGTTAGCAAATATCAAAATACGGAGTCATGTTTTAATCAGGAAAAAATTGACTTGAGAAACGAAAATAAAAATATTTTTTTTGTCTCTATACATGTGTGTTTGATGTCAATATTGAATATATAATATTTTCTCTTATTTTGGTTGAAGGATGTGGTTTTTTTTAAATACTCTCACAGAGATATGGTTCTTGCAGTTATTAATGGACTTAATGGAACCAAAACAATGAGAGTAAGAAAAAATTCTGTATTTTTTTCCTTTTAATAATTCTCCTTAAGAAAGCATTTTGGTTAATCTTGTATTTTTCTACATAGGGTTGTGAGCAACCACTAATTGTTCGGTTTGCTAATCCCAAAAGGCCTCGTCAAGGAAATTCCAAGTTTCTCTTGTCTAATTGATAATCTTTAAACATGAAAGAGTTGGAAATGCATATTTTATATGATGATTTCTATAATTTCATTATTGGCAGGTGCTACTCAGAATTCAATCAGGGTTGCTTAGGTATGTACTTTCTTTTACATGAAGTAAGCTGAGTTTGGAGTAGTTGTGGTGAAAGTAGCTAATCATTTGCCTCCTCCTCAGAACAGTGGATGCTTCAAGTACCTGGTGCCACAAGTTGCATAGGTTGCATAGGAAAGGACAAATTTGGGGAGGAGATGAAGAAGAGTTTTTGGCTTTTTCCTTACTGTATCTCCTGATTCGATACAATTAGTTGCTGAACATGCAGCTAAGAATAACAAGGTTTGATATCAATAGAACTTGGCATTCCCATTTTACTAGCAGTTTTGGAGATCAAGTATTTTATTCCTGTATGTAGTTCTTCATGATGAACCTTTCTGCCCCCTTTATTTGTGAGTTCTTCAAGGAGGAACAGGAGAAATTTTTGCCGTAAGGATCCTTTTCTGTTAAATTCAAATAAGGAAAAATTTACATGTTGATCTTACCGATATCCATTCCGGGATTCAGACATATGGACTACATTTTTGGAAATGAGATTGAAGCAAGAACATTTTCTAAAGTTCATGGCTGGGACGAAATCTTTGCATAACAGATCTGTAGGGTTGTAGTTTTGGTTTCAAGTTTTAATTTGTTATCTATTTTGACTCTTTTCCTATTAACTAGATTGATAATGTCGAGGAAATAGCTTTAAAGATTTCCTAGTGGTCAAAGGCATCAGGAACACACAAAAGGATTACCATTATCACACAAGGTGCAGATCCTATTTGTCTTGCTAAGGATGGGAAAGTTAAGTTGTATCCTGTGATACTATTATCTAAAGAGAAATTAGTTGACACGAATGGAGCAGGTATAATACAACCCTATTGCTTTTAGTATTTAAATATTAAACCAAGTTATATGTGCAATTGAGTTTATGGGAATTTGGTGTGCTCATAAAATACGTGCAAGTTATAAAATTTAGAATTTGATAAAATTAATAGAGAATTCACACATATAATTCTTTTGTAATCTAAATGCTAATAAGCTTTCATGTCTTTGGTTAAATATATATTTAATCTCTCATAATTATGTCCTTACCTTGAAGAAAGGTACCTCTCAACCTTTGGATATATATATATATATATATATATATAAAAGAGATGATAAAATAGGAATGAAACACTATAAGGGACTTTCAATTCATTTCATCAAGATTCAGTTCTGTACTCATTCCAATTTTGTATAGCATGTTTTTGTTTTGAT